TATGATAGTTCAAATGCACCCAATGAGTTCGAATGAGTTATATCAATATCACCATTACGAAAAAAGAATCCGATAACTTCAAAAATATATTCAACAATTTTTTTGTAAAAACACGTGATAATAATGATCTTATTGTGTCAGCTCATACATGTAAATGTATATGTCAAACACAATACCAAGTGGGTGAAACGATCAATTGTTTTTCGTAAGCATTCTAAAAAATTGTACTAAAAATCACAAAAAAGTTGGATGTCACGAATAGAATACTGCATAAAAAAACCGATCAATTGTTTAGGTTGTCTATTGGCGATACGAATTGAAGTACGAGCTGGTTATGGTAAGTTTTGATTGTTAATAAATATTTCTATGAATTCTCTTCTTTTAGGTGTGATTAGACTAGCAATAGAATGAATTGAAAAGATATCTGACATATACTCATTCATTTCATATAGGTGGGACGTGCAATGTCATACAAGATACATATCCACTCCGTGGCTGGAAGTGTAATAAATCCTTTTACTTCTGCTATTTCGAACGTAACAAAGGTACAGAACTTAAGATAAGACAATACAATATCATTTATTTGCGTATTTTCTGACTTGAGATTGTCGCAATAGAAAATGATAACTTAGAAAGGCCTGCATAAATGCAATGCGAAGCCATCACAATTAGAGTCGATTCTGTCCTGTCGAATATTCTCATTATCTCTTCTACTCACAGCAGCTAACTCGAGACCGTTTTGCGAAACTTACTGAAGATGAACGGTAAAACTCATATTAAAGTTCTCTAGAACATCGTGACACAAAGTACAAGTTTCGTTACAACGAAAAACATGCAAATTATGGAGACTGAATGCATACGCAACTAACTATAGACTTCAAAATCAAAAATCATTCTTGTATTATAAACATATTTATACTTCTTAATTATTAGAGTTATAAAGGATTTTATTTTTTTTTAATATAGATAAAGGACAAAGATAAAAGAAAAACATAATAGTCTACGAAAGAAAAGATATCAGTCACTGTATTCGATTGATATATTATTGTTTTTTTACTAATGAAACAACTTTTTGAGCAGCTTTTTCAAAATCATTTTCAGCTGTAATAGGAAATGAACTTTGATCAAGTATACGACGAGCTTCATCCATATTTGTTCCTTGTAAACGAACAACAAGAGGAATTTTTAAACCAAGTTTTTTACATGCTTTTTCAATTCCATTTGCAATTATAGCACAATTAACAATACCACCAAATATATTGACAAGTACAGCTTTAACCTAAATATTTTTTTGTTATAAAAGAAAACAAAAATATATTAAATTTTTTTAATAAATATTATTCTAAGAAAATATTTACTTGCTGATCACTAAAAAGAATTTTAAAAGCGTCAAGTACTTGTTCTTCTCTTACACCACCTAGAAATAAATATTTTATTCTCTCTCTCTATCAAATGTAAACGTACTTTAGAGCATATCGAGTCCGACATTTGTGTATCCGAACCGTAGTCTTAATTTTAATGAAATTTTTTAATGTACAACTTGATTCAATTATTTTTGATAGTTTTCCAGACTCACATGTACAAAACATATTTCTTCTTCCGTCAGATACGTTCAAACTCATTTAAAATAAATCCCACGTAATAAAATCTCTGATGCTGTTGAAGAATGTATCCTTCAACTTTTACATTAAGGATACTCCCAGTCTAGGATAGTAAACATTTTGAAACTGGATGAAATTAACGTAGCTCAGTCTATTATGTCCAACGTTAAACGAAAGATTTGTCGTCGAAGAAATTCTCAATTCAAAATTAAAATTTTTCGGAAAAAAACAGCACAAGCGACATCTATCATCAAGAAAATTGACATCGAAAATTCACCGACTCAACGGACGATCACCAAATCTGTTCATGTTGGCCAATCTAGTGTCTCGAGAATCATCAAAAATGCTGGTTTTACTCTTCGAAAAAAACCAAATTGGCATCGTCAACCATCGATACAAAAATTTCATTATAACTGATGAGTCTTGGTTAAAACTAGAGGAAAACGTAAAGTTTGCTATATTAAAAAGTCTGATCGAAACTATGATCAAATGATTATTCAACAAAACATTTCTCGACCCATCGCGATATGCGCCTTGTTTATTTTCAAAAAAAGAAAGAATCAGTCAGCTATTTGAATAAATGCAAAATTAATTTTATTAAATCAGAAGAGTGGATGCCAAGTAGAGTCCATCGGGCCCGGGTGTGAAAATTTTTGTTCATTGTGTCCGAATCAAAAATAAAAAAGCTTTTGATGAATATAATGATATTTTACGAGTTTCTTCTTCTTTAGAAAAAATTCATTGTATATTATTTTTTCATGTATATGATTCAGTACAAAGCAAAATGTTATTGATAATGGAATAGTTGTTGAATAGAAGAAATAATATAAAGCCTTTGTAATGTATACATTCATTCTTCTATAAGGAACTATTGATAGAAGTAAGAACTAATTGTAACTTAATTATTATGAGATCTCTATCGGGTCGTTTAAAGAATATGTAAAATATGCTTAGAGGTATCATTTTCCTGTCAATTTAGAATAAATATAAATTACCAATAACTTAATTTACGCATGAATTAAGTTGAAAGTAAATATTAACTGAGTCCCCTTATGTATACTAGTCATGTAACAGAAAAAAAAATGAAAAGCATATCGCATCTTCAGAGCGACAATCAAAATCAGATTAGAAAATTTTATTAAGAAGAGTAAGAGTACAGTTCAAACCCGGAACCGTCAAAAATTCTTGAACCCGATGGGCTCTAATTCCAAGCAGTCCTGATGCTACTCCTATGAACTATGCAATACGGGAATGTCTGAAACAACGACTAAACAAAACAAAAACTTATTCTCTTGATAAACTAAAAAAAACCTGTTGTACGAGTGAAAGAAAATGGATCAAAGTTATATCGATAAAGTATTGGCTTTCTGACCGAAAATATTTAAGACTCGAGGCTTTCATATAAAACATTGTTTAAAATTATAACTAGTTTTTTTTTATACGAAAAATAAAACTATCAAAAATAATTGAATCAAGCTGTAAGTCTGATAGTTCTCAGACATTTTAACAGTATAATCTGTTGAATTCAATATTTTATCCAGTGTGACAGTAGCGCCCCTCCAAAGGTCAAATCCGAGACAAGTAGAATCCGATATTTACCTCCAACATCAAGAAAATTAGCTGGTTGTCCACCATATAATTTAATAATATCCATTGTAGCCATAGCTAAACCAGCACCATTAACTATTTAAAAACAAAAAAAAAAAATTCGTATGATTAAATATATTTTTTTTATTTTGATCTACCAAGACAACCAATATTTCCTTGTAAACCAATATAATTTAAACCAGCATTAGTTGCTTCAACTTCACGTTGATCACTTTCACTTGTATCTTCCATATCAAAAACAGCTTTTTGACGAAATTTTGCATTATCATCAAAACTTAATTTAGCATCAAAATTGATAACTAAATATGAACATCTTATTTTTGAATTGAATTATTAAATACAATTACCTCGTTTATCAGGTGTTTCACCGAATGGATTAATTTCTAAATAAAAAAAAAAATAATGAATATTGAAATAAAATAAAATTTTACCTATTTGTGTACAATCATATTTTAAAAATAATTTATATAATTTAAGAATTTGATCTGCTGCCTTAAAAAGAAAAAAGACTTTTTATTTATTTTTTAAATAATAAATAAAATTCAAAAACAAACTTCATCAGCTAATTTATTTTTAAAATTAAGTTTTTTTGCCATATTTAAAGCTTGTTCTTTTGTCATACCAGTCATTGGATCAATAGCGATCTAAAAATTTGCAAATAGAAAAAGTAATTTTACCTTTCCCCCCCTGTTGAAATTTAATCAAAATTCTTACAGTAAAAATTTGATCCGGATGTTTTTCTGCTACTTCTTCAATATCAACACCACCCATTGGTGAACCCATTAATACAGCACCACCATATGCACGATCAAGTAAAATAGCTAAATATGTTTCACGTTCAATATCTAATGCTTCAGCAACCATAACCTAGATAAAGAAGAATATATCAAAAAATATTTTCATTTTTGAAGTTTATTTTTCAAAACCTTTTGTACTTCAACACCTTCCGGTGGTGTTTGTTTTGTAACAAGACGATGTTTAATCATTTGTTTAACAAGATTTCCACATTCAACTGGGCTATAAGAATTAAAAATTAAATTTCGTTGAAATCAATATTCATTTACTCTTTTGTAAGTTTAACACCACCTTGTAATCCACTATCAAATGTACCTTTACCACGACCACCAGCTAAAATTTGTGCTTTAATAACTAATTCTTTAGCAATTGTTTTCACTGAAAACAAAATTTTATTGTTTTTTTTCTTTTTCGGAATAATAAATTCCTACTTAATTCTTCTCCAGCACGTTTAGCTTCTTGAGGATTTTCAACAACTTGAAAACGTTGAACATTAAGATTACTATCATTTAGAATTTTTTTGCTTTGATATTCATGTAAACTAATCCAACGTCGTGACTTTAAAAACGAAAAATAAATAATAAATAATTTATTTTTATTTTTGTACCTGATATGCTGTACAAATAGCTGGATTTTGACGAACAGTTGAATAACATAGACGAAGTACAGCTTGAGATTTCATCTTTCGTTTATTTTTTTCTCCTTCCTAATTTCTATTCCAAAAACAAAGCAAAAGAAAAATACAGATTGATTTTCGAGTAGAAACAACACAATACTGATTGGTAGAATTAAATTAAATGAAAGTTAAAATTATTTTATATAGAAAAAAAAATTCATTTTTATTAAATTAAAATCCAAAAATTTAGAAAAATATAACAAATTTACTATGAGAAATAAATTTATTTTACAACGACATCTACAAATCGGTTTCTAAGTAACGTGAGATCAATCGATATTCGTTATGTAGATTTGATCAGTCACATGTGAAAAAAAATTATGGCAGGAAGAGGCCGTGGACGTGCACCAGGTGAATATATTAGTTTACCACCAAATGCAGCATCACATGTTGATGCTTATTTTGAATATCGAGCGTATGTATTCAAGATAAAAATATATTATCTAT